TTCCGGCCATGAAAGCTTTCGACAACACGGTTGCAAGAATGCTTCAGTTTTGCATTTCTGCATGGCAGGGGGTAGACTAGATAGCCCTTTCCAGTCTGATGGAGCTATGAGTCTAAATAAATAAGTAAGTAAATAGTGAACAAGACAGTAAGATAAAGATTTGTGTATGACAGGTCTTTAAAAAAATATTGTGTTTTTTTTAAATCAAGTATCTAACAGTCAATTTGAAAAGTAGAAGAAGAAATGTATTTTTTTAAGTCGTGTTTGTGGGGATTTGTGTATAATTATGGTTTACAGCCATCATTCTTATGTTTCCTCCTAAATGCAGAACAAAAGCTGTGATTTTGCAGCCTATCAATCATTTAAAATCATTCAGGTAATGACGTCCTGGTATTCCCTTCTACTGTCTTTATTTTATGCCCCTTTCAATAGTTCTTTGGAATACTCTACCTTTTGCTGTTTTTCGTTCAGTAAATGCACTCCGTAATATCAATTATGGCATGGTCAAAGGATAATTTATTGTCAAATAGAAAAAATAGGTCAACACTAATGTCACTTGATGATCAACCCCCCCAAGTTTAATAAAACATCTCACCAGCATGCATCCTGCACAGCGGTTGATATTTTATTACAACTGCAGTACCTGGGCTATAGCAGTAGTGTAATTACTGAGCTGTCAGAGTGATAAGTGGGATTAATGGCAGCCTGATGCACTTTAGTCTTCAGAGTGCTCTGAGAATTGGAAGATGGTGTTGTTATAAGAGTCTGTCTATACTGGCATATTCACGGCACTTCCACCCCAACCCCCCCTGCCCAGTGCCACAAATTCAAGTTTGCATTGCCCTGCCTCATTAACATTTGACATTTTCAACAGCTGTTATTTGTGAGCCAGCTCAATAATAAAAAAGAGAAATATGTTATTTGGTAAAAGATGCATAATCTACACACGTGCTATCCTGCCAAAATGGCTTCCTGGTCAATTCTTCACTTAGGACATTTATGTTGCATGCTTAAATTTAAAAGGTTATAGCTCTTGATTTAAGATTTTGCTTATCACTGTTTCCTAAGCTATTATAATTAAAATAGTTATTATTTAGTCAAATTCTGTAGTGTCAGAAGATGTCAACATTATTATTTTGTCATATGTGGCATCTTATTGGGCATTATTGATTGTTATTGAATGTTAAAAGTCATATCTTAACATGTTAAGAGGCCTGGCTTCTTTATGTTGCTGAACACTTTTCTAAAGCTATCCCTAAAACCCATCTTTCTCCAAGAAATATGACTGCAATACACTGCTTATAGTGTGGGTCTTACTGTTTGATTTCATATTCCATTGCTTATCACTATACAAATGGTTTAGTGATTGTAAGGAGCCCCCGGTGGCACAGTGAGTTAAAGCGCTGAGCTGCTTAACTTGTTGTCCAAAAGGCCACAGGTTTGAATCCAAGGAGCGGCATGAGCTCCTGCTGTTAGCCTCAGCTTCTGCCAACCTAGCAGTTCGAAAACATGCACATGTGAGTAGATCAATAGGTACCATTCTGACAGGAAGGTAATGGTGCTCCATGCAGTCATGATGGCCACATGGCCTTGGAGGTGTCTATGGACAATGCTGGCTCTTCGGCTTAGAAATGGAGATGAGCACCAACCCCCAGAGTCGGACACGACGGGACTTAATGTCAGGGGAAAACCTTTACTTAAGAAATTATAGTATTCATTAAAAGTGTGTTCCATGAAGGTGAGTTAATACTAACACACATTTAGTATTTCTTATCTGAAATGCATGAAACTAGAAGGGTTTTTTTCTCCTAGATTTTGGAATACTAAATTTAAACAAAAATTCATTTCTGTTTCATATGCATATTATACACATAGCCCAACGGTAATTTTATTTGCAATATTGTTAATAATGTATTACATGAAGCAAAGTTTGATTGAACCATCAGAAAACAAAAAGTATCACTATCTCAAGCACTTAGATGGACAGTTTTGAATTTCAGAATTCCAAATGCTCTACCTTTACTAATAAAATAATGTAAATGCATATCCTAAGGAATCCAAAATGAAAATACATTAGCCCTGTTAAGCTAGGCCAATTTTTATTTCTTTCGTTTTGTGGACTGAGGGTTGAGAATACCCTTAATTTTAAATGGTTTCTCCCAGACTTCAGTGCTCCCTACTAGTGTCATTGGAAATCTGATTGAATTGCTTCATCCTTCTGTCGCCAAGTTAAGACACTTTTATACCATCAAGTTTTTGGAAACTGTCTAGGGTGGGTTTTTAATGCTGTGTAGCTCTGTTTTAAAGGTTTTTATGTAGTCTTTTTAATAAATTTTAACATTTTGATGTTTAATATGCTAGGACCTCAATTTTTAACATGTCTTTGGTGAAAAACTTTGAAAGTGACAAAAGCATAATTTCCTATGATGTGCAGACTTATGGCACAGTCCTTTCTTGATATGTTTGTCAATCTGTTTGGCTAGACTCTTCTGTGAAAAGTAATCTGTCAACCATACCCAATGATGCCTCTTTCATAGCTTTGCCCCTCCCCCCAAGGAAAAGTGAAGATTCCTGATGGCTAGCCTTCAGCATTTGTATTCAAATTTACATGATTTCTATGTATATGTCTCAAATTAGTCCAGCTAAAATTGTTAATCTACTGTGACCTCATGTCGGCATAACACATAAATGGAGCTTTGTGAATATTTATGTTGCTGCTGCCCTCTCCTTCTTAAGCATTGCCGTGGGTTTGGAAATATCTGTGTCCTCTTTTAGTCTAACCACTATTTGCTCTTTCATAAAAATCAGGAATGCTAATTAGTTTTAACTGTGGTTTGTTGAATCATAAACCACATCCTTAAATTGGCATGTTTAAACAAATTGCAGTCTAAACTAACTGACATCTAACATAGTGACAAATTGTGGCTGCAATAAATTGTAACAAAATTCTTTGAATCCCTTGATGGATATAATAGATGGAGTGAGGAGAGCGGG